GGGGGGAGGACCGGCCTCGCCGCCGCCGCCTCCTCGGGACATCGAGCGGGGGGGATGGAGGAGACGGAGCTCTTCTCCCCCTCCCCCCCTGCGAGTATCGCGGGTCCCCGTCTTGTAATAATATATCTTTCACTATAACTCCTGGAGTTGAGCAAGCATATAAAATCCTCTCCACAATAATAATATTTGAACAAATTAAAACAACAGGATGGATATTGGTCTGTAAAAGAGTCCCTCTGTTAAAACCTGTCCCAGTTTCCAAAACTCCACACATTAAATCACATGCGTCAAACATTAAGAGCCCTTTGCGATCCAGCTTGAAAAGTCTTCCAGAGGATGCTACAATGAAGCCATCATCAATAAAAGTGTACAGTTCTGATTTCTCTGCTACTTGCAAGGTTTGGAAAGATACAATTCTGATGGTTCGATGGTGCACAGAAAGCTTGTGAGCAAGCCACATTGAAATCAACAGGACAAGTTAGTTATACATAATGCAAGTTCCAGTGATTTCAACAGGATATAAATGCAACTGCCTTTTCTCAGGATTGAGGCATTTATCTGCAGTTCTGCATATTGATCTAAAGATACCTACAATGATAAAAATTCTTAGAATACTCACCTATCTTTATTAAGTGTTTTATCTTCAGTTACCAAAGCCATGATTGCCATCCTGTACATATGATCTGAGACACTCTCTGGATTTGCTACGTTTCTATATACCCAGCCTGTCCGTGGTACTCTCTAGTTGAAAACAGGTTGAGCCACACTGTCAAGTATTTGCCACTATTGATTGCTATACACTTGTCATGTCGTACCTGACATTTAAAATGAGCTATATTTGCTGCTTAAAGGTGTTGTTACAACAAACAAAAAAACCTTCAGCTCAGGTCACAAGATGAATTCCATATTAGGAACAGTAGTATATGAAGAACTAGAAATAGCATTCTGGAGTCTTTCTGAGGTATTTCAGCCATACAAATGAAACCATTTATTCTGTTGCGCTAAACAGAAAGGGTTATGATTGTCCAAGGGGGCTTGAACAAAGCTAGCACCAAGTAGCCCAGCCAGGGTGTTACTTTCCCCAAGGCAGAGCCATCCCATTGCACAATCCATGCACCTGTGTCAGTTCTCACTCCTTTGGTCTCAGCTGAATAGCCACCGTTTATTTTACAGCCTGACTGTAGCCACAAGCATACTTACTCAGAACAAGTAAGCCCCACCGTTATATGATACCGCTTACTCTCAGATGACAGTAGGCTGAATTGCACCCTTAAGTTTCCCACGACTTCCCGGCATCCCTGTTCTGCCACTATCCCTTCTGCATCAGTTCCACCACCACCACCACCCCGGTCATCCTGTCTCTTTCCATCTTAACGACATGCAGGGTACAACCACCCACCGCCGGCTAGGAAAGGCGACGGGGCGTAAATGGGCTATGCAGCGCGACCCTTACTAAATCTACGCAAGAACCACCCTGGGTTTAGTGAAAACGCCTTCCCGAAAAAATGCCCAAGGACCACCACGTTAATACTTGCAGAAGAGGCTGGGCGATGGGGAATCGTCGGCGTCGCAAGAATAAGAAAAGGCTACCTCGGCCCAAGCTCCCTATGCTCACCTTCAGTTGCCCCACCAGCCTCAGAAACTGTAATAAGCTCCCCATACTTCCTACTACAACCGCACAAGGAATACAACGCGCGGGAACCACTGACGTCCTTTGTGCAGGAGGAAATGGCATCAGCGCCGCGCCAGGCAGCTCCTCCGAAGCTGATTGGCTGGAACCTAGGAGTCATCACCCGTTACCTCTTCTGGTACCATTTCTCCCCACCCCCGAGCGTAGGTTCCCTTTAAATGGGAGAACGTCGCGTCTGGCGCAGCGGGACTGAACTCTGCAGGAGATTGGGCTTGTTTAGTGGCTAAAGAGTAAAAGGAGAAGCACCAGTTTCTGCAGGGCACGTTGAAACACCCCATGGAATTGACCAGGATTGCGTTGCCTGTCTGATTAAATACCAGATTTTTTTGCTTGAGTGAATTAGTCGAGGGTGTCTGTTAAAGAAAATGCTGTTTAATGGCTTGACGGGTTGTTGCTACGCATCCCAAGCGAAACACAAAAAGTAAACGTATTTCCCGACTGACTACTTCGAGCAAATCACTATGACAGATCTCATTTTAAATACCCCTGCTAATTAAGCTGCGATAATTGCTACTAACTAGGAATATTCCTAACCTTTCAACCCCAAAAGAGGACATTTTCGTCATTTTTTAAAAAAAGATCCCAAAAGAGGATGGACACCAAAATAAGAAGACTCTGGTAACCCTACAAAAAAGTGAAGGATGTGGTCTGCGTCCTACATGCACGTACTTGAAATTACATCCTGTTGAACGAGGGAGGAACGAGTGCGGACTGGGGAGCAGCAGCTTGTGGGAAATCAGCCTGAGACCCACTGACTTGTAGACAAGTTGATTTGCAATTAGGAACTATGACTTTAGTTACTTTGGCTTACTGTATAAATCCAGAGTAGACTCTCTTTGAGCTAATCTGAAAAAGTGATATATAGTTATTTCAGATAAATGTCAAGTGATCAAACTTTGCAATTAGGAATGTGAGGACAGAGGTAAAATACACTGAAAGGAATCAATTTTTTGGAGCATTACTACAATTCAATAGTGGCAACTGAGTACTGTTTTGCTACTTAAGTTTTTTTGTGGTCAAAAACTGGATGAGTGCTGGTGTAGAAATGTTGACTGCTCTCTATTGCAAATGGTGTTTCATTCTCCCTCTTTTTGCCTAGTCAGAGTTTGAGAAGAATTTCTTCACTGCAGCCACCCTCCCATAAGGATGACCTGTTAGACCAAACCAAACGCTCTGCTTTTCTGCCTTGATTTAGCCTACTTTCACACTCTGGCTTTGCTCTGCCACAATTCTCAAGTGTAAGTGGGATTCCTCCAATCATTTAGATGATATCATCTTTCATCTGTGCTCCTTGCATCACATTCTGTGGTTTCTTCCAGTATTCCCTGAACCCGATTTGCTCAGATCTTTTCAGAAGCATCGGTGTCAACCTGAATTCCTCCACCGTGGGAATGGGAAGGTGCAGATTTCTCAACTTCCCAGCCCACATCACTGTCATTTCCCTTCCTGATCCATGTGTGCTCACCACTCCCTTTCCCCTATGGATATTTAGAAGGGTTTTTTAAATTTATTTTTTAAAAAACAGCCAAGTAGTGGGTGTATTGCTATATAACACTATAGCAAAATACCATTTTTTAAAAACAAAAAAACTGACAAAAACTCTCTAGCAGTGGAGTGGAGGGAGGCAAACACAAAAGGATGGGGAGGAAAGAAGGGGAAATCACTTCAAATGCTTATGTCACCTATATGTGGATGATTCCGCCCCACAAAATTTGACCAGGGCATTGGAGGCTGTGGCTGGCCGGTTGCAGCTGAGTCGGCTGAAACTTAATCCAACAAAGATAGAGGTCCTCTACCTGAACTGGGTGTGTGTGTGTGTTTAGTGGAATCAGGAATCAGGCTGCCCACCTTGGATGGCCCACCACTTACGCCAGCCCAGAAGGTGAGGGGCCTGGAGATTGGTCCTGGATGCCTTGCTTTCTATGGAGGGCCAGGTCACCATAGTGGTCAGATCTGCCTTTTACCATCTTCGGCAGATCCGGCAGCTAGCTACCTACCTCTCCTCCCAAGACTTGGCTGCAGTGACCCATGCAATGGTCACTTCCAGACTTGATTGTTGTAACTTGCCTTATGTGGGCTTGCCCTTACGGCTGATCTGGAAACTCCAGCTAGTGCAAATTGTGGTGGTGTTATGCAGGGGTCTTGTTGTAGAAAAAGAGCTGCCGGAGCTCATTAGCACAACTCATTAGCATAACTTATTTGCATATGCCACGCCCCCTGACATCACCGGAAGTGACAGAAGGCCACACTCCCTGACATCACCGGAAGTGTGTCAGAAGGCCCGGCTACTTACCCTCCTGCTTCATCCTCATTCCCAAACGGAATGAGGATCGAAGCAGAGGGCGGGGTAAAGAAGGGGGCGGGGCTTCACCACGTGACCGCCCCGCCCCCTAGAGGTTCTCTTCCGGAGCTCCGTACCTGAGAGCTCCCCCCCGACTAGAGCCCTGGTGTTATGTATGCGGCCCGCCACAAGACGGCTGCAAGAAAGAGAGGAGCTTGGCTCCAAAAGGACAATAGGACCTCGGATCCTAGTCCTCTCCCTAGCCAGCCAATAGGCTCCTTGGCGGGAAATTCAAACCCTCCAATGGAGTGGGAGGCCCGGGGACGGGGGTGTATATAGTTGGCCCTGCGGGGCCGTTGTGTTGTTGTTAAGTACTCAATAAACGTGTGCAACCGCATGTCGTCATCCGAGTCCTCCATGCGGCGAACCCAGTACTTTTCAGGTGGCATGCCTGCTGATGGCACTGCTTGTTCAGGCACACATTCAGCCAGCACTATGCCAACTGAGTACCAGATCAGCTTCAAGATACTGGTATTGACATTTAAAGCCTTGCACAGCATAAAACCGACATACCTGAGGGGCCACATCACCCATATGTGCCTTGAAGAGCCTTGCGCTCTGTCAAGAATTGCTGGTTTAAAAAAAAAAACATTTTTGATTGCTTTTTCTATTCTACAAACCTACAGGGTCAAGGGAAGGGAACAACCTAAAACTACAAGTAGCAAGGATCATTAATACATAAATTCAAAATAATCGATATTTCCCTATTGCTCAAATAGTAATACATGAGAGTTAATACTATGCAAATATAAAAGTATTAAGTGAGCAAAAACAAGCATGCTTGGCTAAAGTGTGTGTTTCTTAGCTTTAAGATAACTAGTTTATAATTATTTATTTATTTTAAGCATTTTTACCCCGCCCTCCCCGCAAGCGGGCTCAGGGCGGCTTACAGAGGGCGCGAGCCCATATATAAAACTCAATAAAACACTAAAATCACAATTTCAATTACAGTAAAACACTAATAAGAATAATAAAGTGCTTTCAATCAAGATGGTCTTGAGTGGTTATTTTCCAACCGGCCCCATTGGGGTCTCGCTGTCCAGTTGATCTTTCATACCAATCCACGTTGTTAAAATCACATGTGGCTGGGCATTCCCAGGGCGATCCCACGACCTGGTAGTATTGCCACCGTTGGTGGTGGTGGCAGCGGTGGCCCCTATGTGAAAGCCTGGTGGAAGAGCTCCGTCTTGCAGGCCCTGCGGAACTGCACAAGATCCCGCAGGGCCCTGATCTCCTCCGGGAGCTCGTTCCACCAGGTAGGGGCCGCCACTGAGAAGGATCTAGCCCTGGTTGTCGCAAATTTTACCACCCGGGGACCTGGTATCACCAAATGGTTTTGGGTCCCCGACCGAAGTGCTCTTGGGGGTATATAAACATCAGACTTTCAAAGTTACTCTATTTTGCTTATTTCTTACCTCTGTGTTTCTTATAGGCTTGCCAAGTCCCCCCAGGGGGCGGGGAAACCCCCGCCCCAGAGACCCGTTCAACGCCGTCGGTGGATTGGGCCCCGGGGGGAACCCCACCCACAAAGCACACGACGTGCACGTCACCCAGAAGTGACGTGACCACACCGGGCACGCTGGGGGCGGGGCCACGGTCATTCGAGGAAAAACTCTGTGGTTTTCCCTCGGATGGTTGTGGCCCCGCCCCCAGTGTGCCCGGCGTGGTCGCGTCACTTCCGGGTGATGGGGTTGCGGCGCGTGCACTACCGGGGCAGCACTGGAGTCCCTCGCTCTGGCGCCGATCCGACTTGGGAACCCTAGTTTCTTACCAAAATCTAGTCTAACTTTTAAAGGTTTAGGAACAGCAGCCCCTAATTCTTCTTCCAAGTCAGAGGATTCTGCTGAGCTGTTCACAGTATTGTCAGAACTTCCCCCCTTTTAATCGTCTTCTTCTTCTGCATCTTTGCTGTCCTTCACTTTCTCAGATCCATCTCTCGCTTTTACTTCAGGAATGTTTTCACTTTAAGAACACAGTCAATCTTTTCTTTTTTCCCATTGTAGTTGAAGATAAGATCTTCTGGTAATATCCATCTGTATGGAGTGATATGATTTTGCAAAAACAGTGTTAAGTCTCTGTATTAGTGACCGGAGATGACGTGCTGGCAGTTCCTGTTATAAGTTTTGATTTTGCCACCATTCTTTCTGCTCGCTGCATCATTGTTTACAGTTAGTGAAAAATTTTCAGAAGTCTCTGAAGGTCTGGTAATAAATGCTTTCTTGCTAATCTGCACCCCACTCAGTCAAAATCTGCTCCCTTCAAGCCGCCCTCCCGTTCCCCGCTCTTAACTCAGGGTTTTTTTCGGGATCGGGATTCCCCTCCCCCTTCCACTTGTTTGGGATTTTGGGGCGGCTTTACTCTCGGAATTTAGGTGGTTGCTCGCTAACTCGTGGATTCACTCCCATTTTTACTTGCATTTGTTTAAGATGTAGAGAAGATCGTTTCATTCAGATCTTTATCTTGTATTGTTGTGGAAGCCGCCCTGAGCCTGCTTTGTGGGGAGGGCAGAGGGGAGGAAATGGCATTTTGTGGGACTTTTCAGAAGACCAGCAATGTTTTATTCCAGGTATAAGCACACTTTTTCTTCATAGAGAGAGAGAGGGAGGCAGCCAGCCAGCCAGAAAAAAAGAGTCCTGTGTTTAGACTCAAAATGTTTTATTCCAGGTATGGGGGGAAGAGT